GTGTGATGAGGTAGCGCTCCTTCTGGGCCGGATCGTTCTTGTCCGCGGATGGAGGGGTGATTGTCAGCAAGGCATGGCCGATTTGCTTGACTTGGATCGTGTTGGAGAAGGATGCCTTCTGTGCATTGTATCCTTGTAGCTAGCGACAATCTTTGTTAGAGTCTCATCATCTACAACCGTACGCTTGATTTCTCACGACTTACCTCAATACCGTGCTTCTCGTTGGTGATTGCGTAGGCAGTGGCAGGGGGATGGTGGCTGTTAGGGGTCAGTACCGGGTCGAGGCAAGACCAAAGTAAGAAAAACGAACCTGACTTGCTCGCTGATCAAGGTAGTCTCCCCGGCGTCAGGGTCATTCTCCCACTTTCCAAGGAAAAGCTCACCCAGAAAGGGGTTTAGAGGCTTCTTCTCACTGCCTAGCTTCTCGCTGCGAGAGCAGTACTGTTGACGCAGCGTGCTGAGAAACCACTTCAGAACAGCCAATGCTCGCTTCTCAGGGTCGGCTTCTTTGGCCGCAGCCACAAATAGACTGGGATGTTCAGCCCAGTAGGCAGAGTATTCCGTCAGAGAGGTGCCGGAAAGAATGAAGGGAGGAGCGGTCAACGAGGAAAGATCTCCATTGAAAGAGGCGATCGACTAGCAAGACATCAATGTTAGGTTAGCCCATTCGACCAGAACTTGTCTAAGAAGACATAAACGAAAGCAATAATAGACATCTGAACCAAAACTCACCTTCAGGAAGCTGGACCAGGACCCTTTGCTTGCAGCGGGAATGGCAGACTGTGGATCCTTGCTGGAACTCATATTGGGGATACCTCTGTGTTTTTGACAAGAAAACCACGTAGTCCAAAAAGAATACTTAGCAAACGCTAAAGAGTAGATTTAGAAACCAAGAAGAAGCAAGCGTGAGTGGGGATGAAGAAGGAAGATATCCTCCAGCAATACCACTACCTAGCCAAGGAAATAAGAAATAGAAACTAATTAATTGCTTGCTGGCGCCAGAGTTTCAGAGGGCAGAAAGACGCTAAGAGGGGATTCGGCTGCGACGTCATGGTATCTCCGTAACTTCAGGCGGTTGTACTGCCCCGCATGTCCATCGCCAATAACGGCATCTTCCTCTTCACTGCACCGCCTCATCATCATTCTCATCTCCAATTTCAACATCTCAAGTTGCGGGATCGACCAATGAGTGCCTGCAGCTGGTCCTCGCTAAGCAATCGATATCCCTGGATTCGATGGTCCGTGATGCTGGTCTTCCCGCCACTGTGTTGACCCTTGGCAAAAAGACATCATCTATCCACGCCCCTTTCCGGGAGAAGCGTACACTGAAAGACAGCAGTCATCAGTGGCTGTTGGTGGCTAAAACAGACGGATAGACAAGCTATCTTATCAGATGACTTGGCGACCTGATTCTGCTTTGAAATTTCAATCAAGGGCAGTTATTCATCATAGCATGGACATCTGCAGAAAGCAGATTCAGACGCAAAAAGGCCTTCCCTCCTCAAAAGCGCTGATACTGATACCGGCGCTCATAATGTCCAGCCTATTTACAGGGTTTCAAGTCGATTGAGGACTTGCCCAAAGTCTTGCAGAAAGCGCTATCACAATCTTACTCCGGAACCATAATCATATCATCTGAGGGGTCAATTCTCAGATTTCAGACAACCCAACTATCTCTGATGAGCTTCAGCGCCCAGGGTTATTCAAGGGTAGTTGAGACTTGAGACTGAGAAACAACGGAAGCGGAAACCCTCTTCGTTATGGATCCGTGAGATGCTACATTATGTATCCTTGCTTCTCAACTCAAGTCTGCTATCCTGCAACGGGTCCGAAAATATATCATGAAATAGAGAACCAATCGCAGATGAGCATATTCAAGGGACCAGAAGGTCCCCTGTTTCAGGACGCTCGGATTGATCGGGTTCTGGAATGGCTTCCCTGAATTGCTTATCCCTTCGTTGATCCACCAAGGGTGATCGCCACGGTTGATTATGTAACAGATGCTCAGAATGCTGAACTCATATAGGCAAAGAAGATATCCCATTAATGTCAATCTGCCTTACGGTTTATTGTCGAAAGAAATCATTCAAATACCCCTGATTCTTTTTTGCTGGTCGAATGTACCCTTCCGTCCATTCGCGGTTCCTTGGCCACGAGATGATCGCCGGCAGGCGGATCCGTACGCCGCGCAGGCTCCAACCCGAGCTTGGTGCATCTCCTCTCAATTGAAAGTATGGTGTAACACTATGCGATCTCTCTATGAGATGATGCGTATCATGCGTTCCTTGAGGATCGCCCATATGCGATCAACCAGGGCTGCCGTTGGCCACGCACCAGCCCCGTCGTTCTGCGTTGTCGATCATGTTTCCACTTCTGACCAAGCTATAGGCATCCGGGCCCTCTCCCGAAGCATATAGTGGCCCATCAACGTATCCACCGTTTGAGAGGATTACTGGGTCTCTGTATACCTGAGCTGTCTCTGCGTGGGTCGAATATCATACATATTTGAGAAAGACTGCGTAGTGCTTCCAAATCGAGCTACTGAGAGCTTCTGAAGCTCTCCTCCCTAACGATTCTAGCCATTGCGTGCTTCATTGATGTGATGATAGTCAGGCTGAAAATTGAATGCATTGCATCGCGACGCGTAATGCTCGATGTTCAAGGTGGCAGCCGCTCGATCAGTGCCCTTAACGTCATGAGGTGCACATTGCGTCAAGATGCTCGAAAGCTGTCTGTCGTACCTTTGTTTGCCTTGGTGAGCTCTCCCTTTCCATATCTTTCCCATGGTTTGCGCGTCTTCATGTGTACTCAAGGACCCAACCACCCTTTGGACCTTCCGGATTTTGTTCGTTTCACTTGAGATGCCCACAAAAGCCTAATCACAAGTCTCCCTTGTCCTTCTTCAATGTATTGGAGTCAATCGTTTGTGACCAGAAGATCGAACACACTTGTTCCAGTACTTGCAAAACTACAGTCTCTATCCCTATCAATCGCCTTGCACAATGCTCGGGGTTCCCTGGTCAAGATCAGAAGACATAAGTACCATGTCTGACAGTTCTTCCCTGAACTCTTCTACAACCCAGCTGCCCGTAGAGGGCCCTCAAGGGGCGAATTCTTCTTGTAATTCATTCCCTAGCTCACCCAAGACCCTTGTCCAAGTACAGAGTCATCTTGTGAACCATGACAGTTCAACGGAGACAGATGAGTATGAAGAGGAAGATGCAGAGCAATACCTGCGGTTCGCTCCGTCTCGAAAGATAGCCATTGTGGCTATTTTAACATTCTGTGCTTTCCTTACTCCCATTTCTTCCACTGCTATCCTAACCGCTGTTCCGGAACTTGCAATGACATTCGGGACGACAGGAGACATTATAAATGCCAGTAATGCGCTATATCTTGCGTCTATGGCCGTCTCTTGCTTGTTTTGGGGTCCTCTCAGCCAGGTATGGGGTCGTCGTCCTGTAAGTGTGCCCGAAGCGAACCTTAGCGGTGCTGTCAGTCCAACTGTCTGACTGCAACTCCCTACAGATCTTTATCTTAAGCGGGCTGCTATTTTGGCTCTCCACGGCCGCCACTGCCTTATCTCCTAACCTTCCTGCATACTTTACATTCCGAGTTCTCACAGCCCTACAAGGCACGTCCTTCCTCGTAGTGGGAAGCTCTGTAATTGGGGATATCTACGAGCCTCGGGCCAGAGCCTCTGCATTGGCATGGTTCCTATCAGGAAGTATGACGGGACCTGCTCTAGGTCCATTTTTAGGTGTACGCTTCTTCCTCTTGATGGAGAATATGGAGTCTACCTGTTCGCTAACACGCCTCATCAAACTCAGGGTATTGTGGTTACGTTCAGGCCGTGGAGAGTCATCTTCTGGCTCTTGACCGCACTGACCGGCTTCGCCGTCCTGTTAATCATCCTGTTCCTCCCAGAGACCATTCCCCACAAAACGAAGGGCGAGCTGGCGGGCCACCGTCTTCCTCAGAGGATCAAAATGCTGTGGCAGCGCATCTCACCCTTACGTGCCCTCCTTCTCCCCTTCTCCCATCCGAATATCTTCATCACTGGCCTAGCAGCCGGCGCTCTAGTCTGGAACCAATACGCTCTCTTGACGCCAATCCGATACGTTCTCAACCCTCGCTTTCGCCTGACTAGCCCAATCCAAGCTGGTCTCTTCTATCTTGCCCCAGGCTGCGGATACCTGGCCGGCACCTTCGTGGGCGGCCGCTGGGCCGATTACACTGTGAAAAAGTACATTAAAAAATGCAATGGACAGCGCATCTCGGAGGACCGACTCCGATCCTGTCTCCCATACATCTGTATCGTTACACCAGGCTGTCTCCTTGTATACGGCTGGACCCTCGATCAAGAAGTCGGTGGCATCGCGGTACCTGTGGTAGCAATGTTCCTGCAGGGCGTGGCGCAAATGTTTTGCTTCCCTAGTCTTCAATCCTACTGTCTCGATGTGATGCAACCGCATGGCCGCAGTGCGGAAGTCGTCGCCAGCAGTTACGTCTTTCGATACGTGTTTGCGGCACTGGGCACCGGCGTTGTCCTACCTGCTACTCAGTCGCTCGGTGTCGGATGGTTCAATACCATCTCTGCGCTGTTTCTGGTATTTTCTGGTGTCCTGGTGTGGTTGACGGTTATCTATGGCCCACGGTGGCGGGAAGCTGCTGATTTGAAGTACTCCCGGAACGCATTTGGAGCGAAGCAGGCTGGGGCAGAAGTATAAATTAAACATTTATCAATTCGACAGTGTACTATAGATATAGACAAGCCATACAAGGGTCCATTGGGGTATTGGCATTTGATATAGAATGTTGTTGGCTTTGTGCTGAGTGCAATTATATACCTGTCGTCTCACTGGTCTCGGAATGTGCAGCATATAGTCAGGATTCCCTTGATGTATAGACGTATGAATAGTGTCTTCCACTGGATCAAACAACCATATGTGCAGCGATCGTCTCAACATAATGACTTTCAAAAGTCGTCCAGAGACGGATTATCCCTCCCGCGACGATCCACTTCCCTCTGCGCCCGTCATAATATTACCCGGGCCCTTCAAGACATCATCTCTGCTCAGGCAGGTTTCGGCAGACACCCGCGCAAGCTTCCGCGCCTCCACGAACTTCCTCGCATCCTCGCGCCCTTTCTCCACGTCCACAAAGGCAATCGCCATCATCGCCGCAGCACATACAGCAAACAGGAACGGAAACCCCATCCAGTTATTCTGCGTATCGTTGATGATGGCCTGGATCACATTGGGCCCGATGATGGAGGACTGGACCGAATCAGTATTCCGTTCTACTTGTCTTAATTGGAAGGAGATAGGCAGTGTGCCCAAGCAGGCAGGCAGGTATGTAGGCAGCCTGCATTAACGGGAATGATTGCTTACAGCTCGATTTGTGATGCCGAAGAGCGCGAAGAACATGTTATCGTAGCCCTGGGGCATGAGCTCGCTTATCATTGTTTGCGCGTACTACGTGCGCACGGGGTAGGACAGGGTTAGCCTCATTTCGAACGGGAGGGGGGAGTTGTGGTACACGGCGTACAGCGTAGTAGGGGGCTTGGAACAGGCCGAAAATGACATTGTAGAAGTAGAATTCCCACTGCGGACGACTATGAGTTTGGAAGCTGGATGTGACGGAGGACGGAACACTCACTCGGTTATGGTAGCCGATCCGTTGTGTCCAGAGTCCTAGCATTCCCCAGAATGGAATTAGGACGCTGAAGAGGGTTGTGACGAGGAACATGCTCTTCGTCCGAAATTTGAAGTACTTTTGGATGTACCAGAATCCGAAAGTGGAGGCGATTGAGCATACAGCCTGTGTGATGCCTAGATACGTTAACTGTAGAAATGAAAAGGATACGTAGTCGTTTTGAATGATGGAAACCAAGGTTCCTTAAGAGAATGCATCAGTTTCGTTCATGTGGCCTCTTGCAAGACTGCGCTGCACTCACCGGTTGTATTTAGCCCATCGGCAAGCAGAAAGTAAGCGACGAAATAGAGGAATGTCTGTGGCAAAGACCGGACCTCCCTGAGCGCAAGCCAGATTTGTTTGAAGCCAATCGTTGCATAGTTCGAACCCTTTGGGACCTTAGGGCCTGGCCGTTTTTGCTGAAAGATGAACCACCATACTCCCAAAACGACCCAGTCTAGTACCAGATGTCAATTGAATGATACGTCTTAGCTCAAAGGATCACCCACATGAGTTTGTCAAGCAGAGGGCGAGGTTGTTCGAGTAACTATTGTTCTGAAGTGGAAGCAAAACACTCAAGTTCAGTACGAGAGTGAGCAAATATCCAATATTGCTGTGTGCAGTCGATATATTGCTATTCCAATCATAAGCACCGTCCTAACCATCCAACAATGGAAGCATACCTGATGTGGTTCCTTTCCAAGGATTCAATTGCATCATACTCTTGCCGACTGATTTTGCCCTCCTTCAGATCCTCCTCGCGAGCTTTGCGGACATGCGGCATGTATCGAGCAAGTCTGGGAAACACAGCCGCATAGAAAACCAGAGTAGCCCCGTAGGCGATATATGCAACTACATACATCGCCATAGCGGCAGGCCATTGACTAGGATGCCTGATCGCCATCATACCATACTGTAGCGCCCAGCATATTACTGTCAATGCCAGTAGAAGCCAACGACCAAACGATCCGTAGTCGGCGGCACTGCCGAGCCAGACAAATATCACCGTCATGAAGGTAAAACACAATCCATTAGCAATCAAGACCACGGAAGAGACGGACCGCGTGCCTCCAGCCCACGAGACAACGCAGGGAGAGGAATCTGTGCATGGCTGGCGCGGATTGGTGCCCGGTTGCCAACCAGACCCGTTCAAGGCCCATTGAAAGCTTCGAGATAGATGCATTAGCTTGGGTCTGAGATTGTTGCAGATATGTTCTTCCTTACAGTGCTTGACTATAAGAACCCGGGCCAACTCCATTGTCCCCTGAGCAAGTACGAGACGTCCCGTCAGTAAGTCCTAGCTAGAAGAAGACAAAGGCAATGTTACCGTTGTAGTAAAGATAGTAAGACCATAGTTCTCTACGGGTTGTTGTTGGTTGTTCGTATAGATGTTCATCCAGACCGAACAGACGTTCGAAGTCGTCGCGCGTTGACTGAACTTCTTGCACAGTTATGGTAGCTTTTGCATTGCTTCCCTCATCCGGTTGTCTGTCACCGTTGTGATCAGTGTTTTCGATCAATATGCTTGGTTCATTAGACGGATGATTGTTCGGAGACATGACGACGACACTGGGACGACTTCCAGCTCCCTCGGTCAATGTGGTGCAGCTGTTATAACATCAGGAAAGAGGTGAACTGACCTTATAAGCCAGGACTTTCCAGACCGAATTGAATCATTCATTGATAGATCGTCACGGTGATAAGAGTATCAACGCGATGGTTGATGGCGATGGCCAATGCTACCCCGCATCGCTGCTGTTGTTACTGTTGCATTCCTTGGGACAACAATGTCGCTTCTCCTTATGGTTTGGCCCCATTATATTAATGACTAGAACCAAAATTGAATCCTTCATGACGCTAACGAAGACTTTTTAACAGACACTTTGTGATAAACCGATAGCGTCAATACGAGGACAAGAGAATCGATTCGAGTATCGGGGCAGTCCATGTGAATGAAACACGTCAGGTGTTCTCCGCATCTTCTCCACCGTCGTCTCCAACGATTGACCTTCATGTTCCATTCGAATTCAAGAACACGGTGCTATAAAAGGGGTTATCTCTCATTGAACCTGGTGTCCCATGTGTAGAATGCTATATTATCATTATCAGGGGCTGGATTGATAGGATTCCAGGCCAAGACCTAATCGAGATAAAGATTCACCCATTGCAGTTCCATGCAACGAGCTGAAAAGATGCCGCCAGAAGATTTACAGAAAAAAGTTGGCCAGGTATGATCTCGATCTTTAGACGTCCATATAAAAGACTACTAGACTGAGCTGACGATGGTTTTTTTTAGCTTTTTGCGGTCGGCTTTGATGGTATGGTACCAAGTCCAGAGATCAAGACTTTGATCCACGAGTACGGGATAGGGGGCATTGTCCTGTTCAAAAGGAATATCCAAAATGCAATACAGCTCCAGGTATGTGCTACCTTGCCAAAGTCATCACCCCTATATCCCGACGCCAGTGAGGAAGCGGTCCAGCTGATCCCTGCGCAAGTCTCTCACTCTTGCGCTGCAAGAGGAAGCTAGACTGGCAGGACACGAATATCCTCTCTTCATAGGAATTGACCAAGAGAATGGACTGGTCACCCGGATATCGCCACCTATTGCTGCTCAGCTACCCGGACCAATGGCCCTTGGAGCCACCCATTCACCAGAATTGGCTTATCAGGTTGGAGGGGTCACCGGCGAGACGTTGAGGTTCTTCGGGATCAACATGAACTATGCTCCCGTCTGCGACATCAATTCAGAGCCTTTAAATCCAGTCATAGGCGTCCGGAGTCCTGGAGACGATCCAGAATTTGTCGGTCGATTTGCAAGTGCTGCTGCGCAAGGACTTCGAGAACAGAAGATCATTCCTAGTGTCAAGCATTTCCCCGGGCACGGAGATACCGCTGTGGACTCCCATTATGGGCTTCCAGTGATACAAAAGACGAGGGAGCAACTGGAGCGATGTGAGCTGATCCCTTTCCGTCGAGCTGTAGCAGAGGGTATTGAGGCAGTCATGACTGCACATATCTCCTTGCCCGCCATCGGTGACGGCAAACTGCCTGCCACACTCTCCGCTGATGTTCTGAGCATTCTCCGCAATGAAATGCAATATGATGGGATGATCATCACCGACTGCCTGGAGATGGACGGAATTCGAGCCACATACGGTACCGAACGGGGGGCAGTTCTCGCCTTGGAAGGTGGTAGTGACAGTATCATGATTTGCCACACATTTGCTGTTCAAGTAGCTTCTATCCAAAACGTCTGCGAGGCGATACAGTCTGGCCAGATATCAGCTTCACGTCTGGATGAAGCATATAGTCGCGTGGTCAAGTTGAAGAACACCTTTCTGAGCTGGGATACTGCGCTCCTACCACGGAATCTTGATGATTTGTCTATGTTGAACAGAAGAGCTGCCACGCTTGCAAAGGACGCCTATTCACTTTCTGTTACCCTGGTCCGCAGTGAGCCTGGTGTCCTGCCTCTATCAAAATCGGCACATCTTGTGCTTCTGTTCCCAGGGGAAAGAACACCTGCAGGAGGTGCAGTCGACGGGGAAGGTTTAGGAAAGAAAGGAGCTTACAATGCCACGGAGTTCGGCGAGGTCTTGAAAGCCCACAATCCCACAACTGTTGAGCTTCACTATGGCACTGCAGGACTATCGACCGAGCAATACAAGCTTGTCGAAGCCGCTGATGCTGTCGTTTTCATCACCATCAATGCACGAGAGTCGCCCTTTCAGAAAGAGATGGGCCTGAAGCTCTCCCGACATGCTCGGAAACTGGTTACCATAGCCGCTTGCAGTCCATACGACTTTTTGGATGATGACAGCATCAAGACGTATATAACTACCTACGAGCCAACTATTGAGGCTTTCACAGCCGCCGCAGATATTCTTTTCGGTGCCTTAACTCCAAAGGGTGCCCTACCGGTTGGATCAAAAAAGGTCGCGCTGGGTTCTATGCATGTGTCGCCATTCGAAGCCGCCAGGGATCTGACTCAACTGGTCGAAGTCTGGAATACTGCCTTGCCGACGTATCCACTACAAGCAGACAGCCTTAACAGATTTTTGACCCAGACCAACGGACATCACTTCGTTGCGCGACTGGAGTCCAAGGTCATTGGCTTCTGCCTCATGTATATAACAACTAACCGAGGCACGACATGCTGTCAGCTGGCTGTCCTTGCAGTCCACCCCAGCCACCAAAGCCAGGGTGTCGGCACGGCTTTGATCGCAGAAGCGCGGGCGTGGCTCATGAAGAATTACAAACCAAGTTCCCTATCACTAGGGAGCTCCTTCCCACGGTTCTGGCCCGGTATTCCGACTGACCTCCCGCCAGACGTACAGGAGTTCTTCGTTCACCGCGGTTTCCGCCTCAACCCTCTGATTCCGAGATCTGTCGATCTGTACCAGGATATCAGAGATTTCCAGTCACCAGAAAAGTACGTCGGGCGTGCTAAAGAGCGAGGCTTCACTTTCGGCGCTCTTCAGCCCGAGCAGTTTGAAGAGTGTCTGGCCGGTCAGAAGAAGAACTTTTCCTACAATCCGGTGCGTATCCGTTCCCCATCTCTGATCCTACCAACTCGTTACTGACCCAGCCAGGCCTGGACCGACTTATACCACAAGCTCGATCCTACAGAGCACCCGTCTAGCATCATGACTGCATTTGACTCGCACGGGAAACAGGTAGGTTGGACGCTGATGCTGGCCCCGTCGTCGCCGGTCCTGCAGCAGAACTGGGCCTTCCCGCCTCTCTGTGGCCCCAAGACCGGGCTGATCGGCTGTGTCGGAGTCGACGAAGAATATCGTAAAGCAGGAGTCGGACTTGCTCTCCTCTGCCACGCGATCGAGGATATGAAGCAGCGTGGAATCGAGGGAGTCTTTGTGGATTGGGTGAGTCTGGACGGATGGTACGAGAAGATTGGGTTCAGGACCTGGCGCCGCTATAGAACCGGTCAGATGTGATCCTGCCTATACGAGCGTGGTGCACCTATATAGAAATGTCCCATGTATTCAGTTGTTTTGTGCCAGTGAGCTACTCTCAGAAATCTCATCCGAATGTCCTCCAGGCTCCAAGCGATTCTACTGAGAGTCGACAGCTCAAACCAGGTAGAAAACTAAATTCTGTCACAATCTTACCTCCTGGCAGAGCAAAGCCGGTTCCGGCCCGGGTACTCTCAAAGCCGTCGAGACATTCACAATCTCTACTGTCATGTGCAGTCGTCGCCACGGAATCAAGGCATCAACAAGGCGGTGGAGCCTTAAGCGAGTCCCACACCAAAGTTTCCGAGAAGGATTTTCCGAGACGCCCACACAAACTCTCACTCTCTCGGAACAACACTCACCGCCTAACCCACCCTTTGACTGCAAAACCCTATCAACATCCGTTCAGAGCACTGTGGTACAGTGTGAAGGATTGTCCGCCTATGCCCAAGTCCTCAATCAAGGCAGCCGAGTAACCTCGCGATTTTTCCAGGCTGGGCGTGCCGAAAATCGATCGAGGCTCTCAAAATCTGCCACGGGCGTAGGTGGACGATTCTTACACTGTACCACAGTTCAAACTCAAAGCATCCATGTTACAAGGAGGTACGAGAAGATCGTTCTCTTCGTCTAACCTCATTGATTCGTCTGGCAAAAGTGGAAACTAATCAGTCCTTAAATTCAAACTACTTAGACTTCTCTCTAAGCTACACTTGAAAACATCAAGAATTCAAGATCAAATCGGCAAAAGCCCTGAGTCATATCTTCGTGAAACCCCATGTGGCACAACTTCCATCCCATAGCGGTTACAAACTGCACAGGAACGGGTGTCACCAGCATTTACATCTCACTGTTGGGTGAGACGATCTGTCCACTGCCCTCTCTGCTTGCCACCTTCTCGTCGTGGGCGGCCAGGTCGAACTTGTACAAGGGCTCAAGCTTGACGTCGCGACGGAAGATGTAACGCTGGATCCACCAAGGGAGCACCTTGAAGCACTGGTAATGCATGTGCATTCTGGTGGGGACCGCGAAGATATAATCAAGTTCTTCCAGAGTGCGTTGCTTGGTTTCGGGAACCCAGAGGAAGATCATGACAAAAGCTGTGACATTCAGACCTCTGCACATTGGTTAGCACGAAACCCACAAATCAACAAGCAGAAACTTGAGAAAGGATATCACTTACGCATAAAAGCAAAATGCTCCGGTGGGGCCCATCACATGAAGCATGCGTGGGAAAGTGATTGACAAAACTGCGGCCCAGCCAAGGCAAGTAGCGACCGCCCAAGACATTCCAACTTCTGTACGGGAATTAGCTGACAACGAGAACAAAAGAGGCCAAAAGCAGACTTACCACGATGGGAGAGAGGGAAAACCTCTGCCGAATAAGTAAACGGCACCGGTCCTTCTCCTGGAGAGTAAAATGCTGCGAACATGAAAACGAACAGTGCGATACATCCCAGATGCGCTTTGGATGACTCGGGAATGTAAAAGCAGAAAGCGGCCGCGAGCAGAGTCCAAGCCATCTGAGGGAAAGTGAAAAGAAGAAGGCTTCGACGTCCGAAGGTGTCGATAGTGAGTACGGCCGGGAAAGCAAAAAGGAAATTGACTAGTCCGAATCCCCAAGAGGCAAAAAGAGCTCCGGTATTGCTCGCACCCGCATTAACAAAGACTGTCGAGGAGTAAAAGGCCACAATGTTGATGCCACACATCTGCTGAGCAATCATGACGACAAACGAAGCGAGGGTGGCGCGGCGGACTCGCGGGATGGTGAACAACTCGACGAAACGAGTAAGATAGTTGCCCTTGCCGGCGATCTCCTGCTCCACCTTGATCTGCGCATATATGTAGTAGAGGTCGCGCGCAGCTTGCAGCTTGCTGTTGCGCAGTCGGCAGAGAGACTTGAAAGCACGCTTCAAGTTTCCTTTCTTGATGAACCAACGAGGCGACTCGGGGCAGAAATACACGCCAACAAGCAGAGGAACGGCAGGAATGAAAGCAGAGCCGAATTGCAACCGCCAGGCGATATCACCGGTATTCTTGACAGCCAGGTTTGCAGAGAAACCGAGGAAGATGCCAAAAGCAGTCCAGAGTTGCCAGCACATGACCAAGCCTCCACGAATAGAAGCAGGAGTATTCTCGGCACAGAAGACGGGAACGGTCGAGGCCTTTAAGCCCATGCCGAGTCCAAGAAGCAGACGAGTGACGAACAACTGGGGCCAAGTCTGACTCACGGCGCTGCCAATGGGGGAAAGCACGCAGAAGATTGCGGAGATGAAGATTGCGCCACGACGGCCAATGAACGAATTGACGGGATCGGATAACCAGCAACCAAGGGCCGCACTGGCAATGTACGGGCCTCTAGTCATGGATGTTAGCCAGGTCTTGATGCAACTGAAGGATTGACTACTGACGCGTTAACAACTCCAACCAGCCACTGATTGAGCTCAGCATCGGGGTTGGGAGTTCCATCCGGAAGGGTCTGCGTGTCAGGAATACCGAGAGCGACAGGAAAAGAAAGATTGGCCCCTGCGAAACAAGAACGCGACATTAACAACTTATCAGCACGGAATGAAGACCTTATCCTTACCGTTACTACCAGTCTGGTCCCATCCCCTGAGAGAGAAAGGCGTGTTAGTGGCTGTTCATGCACCAAGGAGCGTGATTCGACTTACTGGACGGCGGCGCCAATCGAGCAGAGGATGATCGTGAAATACAAGGCAAAAGGCTGGCGCCATTTGTGCTCGGTTTCGTTACGGATTGCAGTGAGCTCCGCCTCGGTCATGTCGGGGACAGTCTCAAAGTGCTCGGGGTCACGCGCAATGAGGGCGCCCTTCTTCAGCTCAGGGAGAATGTCGACGAGGTCATGCTGAGTCGCAAAGTCCTCGACCTCGCGAATAACCTGAGAAGGAGTCAAGTCTGCCAGAGGATTCTTGATCCTACACGAGAAATTGGTCAACGATTAGTGCCAGAGGAGACGACGCGTGAGGGAAGAGCAGCTCGTGAGGGGTAGACTCGAAGCCGTCGAGACTCGACACTTACTTTGCAGAGAGATTCTTGTTCAGATTGATGTGCTCGTGATGGCCAGTTTCGAGCGCGCCATCTTCGTCACTGATGCTGTCGTTAGGAGGGTCGATGTCAGTCAGGAGCCAAAAGCTGGCTGTCAGGGAAAACCTACCGCTGCTCGACAGGCGCATCAGTGGTTGCAACATGAGCAACGTCTTGCTTGTTGCGTCCGTCTGCCATAGCAAACTGAGACGGACGATGAATCGCTGCTTGTTGTTGCTTTTGTATGCTTGTGTTAAGTGCTATGCTTATCTGAATTGGAGGTTGTGCTTAAAGCTCAGAGAATGCGGAGAAGGAAAGAGAGAGAAGAAGGAAGGTGCGGGGAGGGAGAAAGAAATAGTAGAGGGAAAAACAGAAAAAAATGTGGAAAATAGAAAAACAGAAAAAAAAAAAATATTATTACCATATTCACGAAAGTCCAAAGAAAAAGAAAAATAGAAAAAGAAAGCTGAACAGGCGCGTTCCAATGGCATCATCACCCGATTCACTTTGCATCTGGGGCCTCTGGGCAATTCACGACCGCATGCATCTTTTCCTGTCAGATATACAGACAATATCCACTTCTACTATTGGTCCTCAGGGACCGAAGGATGCAAACTACACTGGAGGTATTGTTATTATGCGCCCCAGAGTCAGTGGCTGCTCATTGAGGAGCCATTGCCGCAATTAATTCCTTCGCTCGAGCGTCTACTCAGTAGTATCAATGCTTTGCACTAATAGTCTACAGCCACTTTAAGCCGGCTACGGCAAGTCCGAATGTAATTCGGGTGGATACCATCTATCCACCAGAGAAGCCTGAGCTACAAGGTCTGAGCGAGTCCTCGGCCTGAATGACCAAGGACAAGAGGAACGAGGAGAGACCGGAGACGACAAGCGAGTATCCCAAAGCGGAAAGCTTCTGGGGTAATATTTTCTTTTCATTACGGCCATATTCGTCCCGTCAACCACGCGAATTGAGCGTGCCAAGGTGGAACCCCCCACGGCTCCGATGACTGCGTTAAGGCGTACTTTAATCCGGAGGTTTACTCATCGAGTCATCGGAATGGGATGCGGAGTGCAAGACTGCTGTGACCATGTTTCCGTTAGGTAGGTTTCGAGAAACAATGTTAAAGGGACATTCTCCTGCATGGTCATCCCTTGAGTGCCATGCGTCCCGAACCTGGGTTCTACCACGGCTGTCAGGAGTTTCAGCGAATATCCATGCAATTATTGACAGACCTCAGAGACCTGAAACAACAAGGCATTCCCCATATGCCCGTCGTATCGAGGTCTGTCTGTTGTTTCTCAACCCCGCTTCCATTCATACGGGATCCCGTGTCGTACCATTATCTATTTCTTCTAGGCTGGAGGTGTCGCTGAGCCGAATGGCCGCTGTCTCAACAGTCAACACTCAATACATGAGCCAATCTCAAGCGAGCAAAAACGCCACCTTTGTTGCTCGAGGGAATATCCCTGCCCGGAATGGCCAGGACCGGATAAGATCCTGGACGTTTGACCAAGATTTATTCGCTACTCTTGGCTGGTTGGCAGTACCGCCCTGTCTAGTAAGTTAAGCTAAGCCAAGAACAGTCAAGTGCGTTTGTCTAATGGCTCCATCTTGGCGGCGATGTGACTTTGGGGAAGTCACGGCCCAAAGCCTGAGAGCTTAAGGAAATAAGGAGAAGGTTGTGGACTTGGGGGTGGGCGGTAGTGGGGTCCGCCTGAGGCTTTGTTCAGACCTCAAAATTGCAACCCTCCTCTTTCAGACAGTTTAAGGTTAAGATTCCTGGATCTCTGTTCGCATGGTCATGTGTTTCTTAGTAGGTGTAATCCCTAACTCTACTCTGCAGTGCAAAAATTTGGGCTTTCACAATGTACAAGGAAAAGTTGGCACAGAGTCTGGGACAGTGTAACCAAGGGACGAACTCCAGATCAGGAACCCGGAGAAATCTGGGGAGTACAGTAATTGGATTATGCTTTGGGTTTAGTCTGTCTATCTAGTACCCGCACATTCCAACGAGCACATGGTCATCTGCTCCCTTGCTGACCTTCCCCCTCTGGAATGTGGCTTAAAGGGACATTTTATTACTACTCCCACTGAATACCGAATACTGAGAACCCCACCTAAGGGCAACAACTTGAACGGACATCACCGTTATAAATCATTGATTGTGAATTCACCATCCTCATGATCCATGGCTAACAAACAACCTTCTGAGCCTGTTTAATTGCATACATACAGTCTGCAACTCTTGCTGGGAGTAAACACTGGAGTTCATAAGTCTCATCAACTGTGCTAATAGAATGTAAGAAGGATTTGAGTTTATTATCAGTACGGTAGAGGCTCGAGTGTACCAGGCCATAGGGTCACAGCACTCCAGGCCTCCAACTACGACTCTACGAGTCTGGCTGATGGAATAGAATCAACGCCATGTGGGGAATCGCCCTCGTTCGCTCTTGCCTGGCCTGGTCTGGTGGCTGGTGATCGCCCAATCTTTCATTTAACTTTTTCCTTTATTTTTCATTTTTCATTATTTTTGGTTTTTGTTTTCACCCATAGTTCAGAGTCTGGATAAATTCTTTGTTCTGCTGTTTGCAGCCGGTGAGAGGGTTCAACTCTATCAGTGAATAATTCATGACTTGTCTGTTTCCACAGTGGCGAAAAACTCTACAATACTCACCGAGAAAACGGCTTAAGCCATATGTTTCATGTCTTTATGCCAACTTTGAAATTGCTTGTGAATATCCAACCATGCTCAAAGCCTCGACAGAGACGTGGTACAGAAACCGAGACTCCGTTCCCATGGCATCGAGCATTCATGCTACACAATCTCAGCCGAAAACTTTGATATGAACCCGGACACGACATATCCCGATATCTCGCCCGAGTCACGTTGGACAGCCGTGTCAGACCGTGGCCAAGGTCGCACACAATAACTCGAGGCTAACAAAAGATTTCACTCTCGTCGCTCTCGCCACAATGGGCAAGAAGACAAAAGCACTCTGAGTCAGATGTCTGCAATATTTACCAGGGTAGAGGCTGTCTGCTGATCTTGCTGATACGGTTTGTACGGTGCATTGGAAGCCTTGCGCCACTACTTAGCGGAGGGATTTATGGACCTTTGACTGAACTGCGGCTTTGAAGAGGCCAAGCAAGCCCATTGATCGATAATTGGCCCCAACCAGTTCCTTTTGAAAGCAATATGGCAGGGTTTGCTTCCGAGTCGAAGTTGCCGAACACAACAATGACGATCATGATCTTCCTTCAATCTATAGATCCGGCCTGGAAGCTCTCGATTCTCGAAGCTCAGTAGATCCCTTCTAGAAAAGGGCTATTTGGAGTTCGCCTTCCAGGGGGATTCCAATCTCCTATGCGCACCTGAGTTACAATGTATACTTTTGCACGGCATTGGATGAAGCTGCGACCACTACCTTAGACATCAGGCTTATATCTAGTGATACTGTTTCAAGTTCATACTGAACAACAGTTTCTTCGTCTTCATTCATTCTCTGGAACTTCAAGAAGTAGGAGTCTATAAAATGTGTCTGATTGCGAGGTTATACTTGTAAAGAGGCGCTCCCCTTCTGGCTCATAGGTCAAAGAATCAACGATATCCATGTCTGATGACAGTTATGTAAGAAAGCTGCCATATGTATTTAACTGCTCTGTAGCAAAAATATTTAGCCGAGGGTAGTGTTGGTGATTAGGCTGGATACAAACTAGGTACATATACTTTGGAGCTATTTATATAAGATAACCTTTCGCTCGGATTATTGTTGTTGTAATGTCATAGATTATTAGATTCTCCCAAAAGCGCAGACTTACCTAGTAGAAGTCTTCAATGTCCGTCTATTTGGGGGATATCGTCTCTTCCCTGACATAACTAAATATGCACTTATGACCAGTCGACATTGTTCTCTTCCGCTTCAGTTCTCAAGCTCACTTCGCCAACTAGTCAGAAGTTGGAAACTACCTATACGAACCGGCCAATAGCGCAGAGTTCATAATCTTAGTGCATTCAAGCTTCGTCCATCCAACGCTTGTTCAATATCTGACCACTAAATGAATGTTACATCGTTTACTTTCCTTGAGTGACTAGGTAGTTCGCTAGGAAGATAGCCGAAATGAGAAAGGACCCAAGAAAGATAGATCCTCTATAGACATGTTTTATGCCTCATGATGGCCCCAATTACCTTCTGCATTGCTGCTCTCCTTTGAGCCATGATCAATGGCCAGCTTATGCAGCATTTGGACATGACTCGTGCTGTGTGTTGGGTATTCTTCATTCTTGACATATACTTACGGACTGGGAGCTATTCTCACGAATGCTCAATGCGAATTATTTGGAAAAAAACGCCTCCGTCATTAGTATATGTGATATCCATGCAGTAGTAGGTATGCCGCCTAGAAACCAACCAACCTTGTGATGTGTGAAAGTCCCACTCCTGCCTTCTCTCGTAGACCTGTCTCTTCATCGGTAAGCACTAGCATCTGCTAGTGAGACATCGTCGAAGGAGTACAATTGCGCAAATACTAGGGAGGTCTATGCCCGAGGAAACTATATAAGTGTGCTCATTTCCCGCTGTGCTGCGTCCGTCTTTCAACACTCAACTCTCTGGAGTCAAAATTTGCAGAACTTCAGGTATTCTCTGATGTACTGTGTGATTGCCATTGAAGAACATATGCTAATACTCTTAGGAGACCCTCCCATACCGCGCGATACAGGCCACCCAGTCTTGTCCTGAAAGACGACTGCAAATATGAGACCCCTTAAAGCAATCATCGCAGCAACCCTACTCGCACTTCCTGGCGCTTTGGGCCAAGAATGTGTGGGGCAAGGAGTAGGGAGCTGTCAATTTGTCATGACAAGTTGGGTAGACATCGGAGACAGTGCATTTGACGTTGACCTCTACAATCATGCATGTGAAAAAATTGGGGAAGCAGACGGTGTCGATCCTGGCCAGGCGATAGATTCTCAGCTGCCATACACTGTCGATATCATCGAAAGGGGAGGAATAGGTCAAGGCTCAGGTGGTGGGATCTATGCTGTATTTCAATATGCTGGAGGCACTTACGGGACTGGGCATTCCAGCTACGTGACTGGAGACTGCAGTCAAGGCCTCACAGGATGTTCCTGGTTTCGCTCTGCGTTCCCTTGCCCTGGATTCTGATCTTATCTGCTAAGAATCGGATTGTGGATTGGATATTTGTCCATCGATTGGTGAGTCCTATCCCCAAGCTCTATCTTCCCCAAGAAGCAACTCTAATGTCCCTGAAAATGCAGTTCCGAGTCCGCTCGTTTCCTTTCTTGAATTTCTTATACATCGGAAATTACTTTAGTTGCCGTCAATAAATCAGTACCGGAGAGCTTGATTCATTTGGATCACTAATCTTCTGGGCATCAGGATTGTAGGTGACAAGCCTAGGACAAACCTATGGTTGATTTGCTTGTAGAACACACCAGTGACGAATTTGTCGATGCTGATGCCAGTGGAGTAGTCACAGCAGAAATAATTTCTTTTCCCCATGAGTCTCCGACAAACTGCAGTTTGTTCATATACCAACAAACCTTAATAAGGCCACATTGCGCTCTGTATATCGGATTTGTCCGGTTAGTATGCTCACTGTCGAGGCATCTGTAGTCATCGGGATGGACCAGGGCAAAGCACATACTCTACTTTTGCACGCTGTTTATGATCGGGGACACTCAATGAGTAGAGAAAAGTACTGCAAATGGCCGAACCTCGCCGAAATAGTCGCATGGAGAATTTCTACCAGCAAATAGGTTGTGGCAGTACTGTACTCAAGGATGATCTAGGTCTCCATAGCTAATTACCCGATCAAGTTAGATCTTCCCCATTCTCCGCGTCACGTGTATAAGTTAACATCCATTCTGGTTTCCGAGATCGAAGATGAGAATTTCTATGAGCTCATCCATATACGATGCAATCATCGGCCTATATATCAAATAGAGGTCGAAATACATGGCTTATCATTGTTCTAACATGAATTTCACCCAATCGGACCTCCCTTCCGTGCAAGATCTCCTGCGCTCAGGAAAACCATTTGTCCCCTTTTCCGAGTTCTCGGTTCATGACATCTGTGACCTAAGTCACGAAGAAGCCAATGACTGGTTGGAGCGCAGGTTGCAGGAGGAAAGGCCATTTGTCATTCATGGCTTTGACAGACTAGACAGCTGGGACAAGCGCATTCTGAGCAACGAAAGCCTGGTAGACCTATCTTCCTCGGGATGTATGTCAACAGTCGAATATCACTACTTTGATATCTCACTTGCTGACCTTCCTCGTTGCTTACAGCAATACCCGTGAGGAACTGTCAGACGGGACGAGATGTGCGTATGAAACTTGCGGATCTTTTTCAGTTTCGGGCAGACCATACGCGAGGTAGCAATATCCGAGAATCGTATGTCGACCAACCAGCTTCTCGATTCTACAAGATATTCTGACTGTGGCATATTCAGTCTATATGCAAAAGACCTCCAGTGCCCGGAGGAGTGGGTAAAAGCTTTGAAGGCCATCTTGCCATCATCTCTGCAGCACTTGGGTTCTTTGGACTTGTTCCGAGTATTGCCCCGAGACATTGCACCGGAGGTCTTGATGGCCTATGCCGGAACTCAGGGATCTTTGTATGCGATCCTCTCGAATGCTGTATAGGATGCATGGCTGACGCAACGAGTGTATTTCTACAGTTCTGGCTTTCATAGATGCTTTAGCGGGACGGTTGCTCTCAATCTCGTGATTGAATCCAAAGGTAACTGGCTCGGAACCAATTATCGGGCCATCTGAAAGGACAAACTAACCGTTCGAAGGCCGTCCGTCAGGGTCAATTTGCTTCGGTACCGACAGACAATCGCAAACAAAATATGACGCTTACATGGAGGAATTGGGAAAGTCATCGCATTCCGACTGGGCCTACGTTTCAATCGCGCAGCTACGATCAGCCAACTTTCCGATTTATGTTACCTATCAAGGACCTGGCGACCTGGTTGTCTATCCATCAGCAACTGCACACCAAGTTTGGAACATTGGTCCGATAGTTACCAGGGTCGTTTGGAATGTCATGCATACGTCTTCTATGGTATCATTCTTTGATTACATCCAACCCGCGTATCAAAGGCAATGCCATGCAGACACCGGCCGAGTCCCATTGATTCCGCTGCACGCACTCAGAGATACTACTATCCTTAGCGCAAAGGAGCTGAAACTCCTTTTGGAGATCTTCGAGCGGTTGGTCGACGATGACGATACGGGGTCAAATATACCCGTAAAGCTTGTGGATACTCAAGGTGCGGTGGTGGAATGCAATTTCTGTGGACTAACTATCTGGAATCGGCATTTGCGTTGTAAGCAATGCGGGGACTTCGACTTGTGCTTGACATGCTTTGTTTCTGGACGAAGTTGCAAACATGTTACGGACTATACCTGGGCTGAGCTGATTCCCAGACAAGATTGTCAAGCGATAATCGATGCAACTCGAAAGAACAGTGGTTTTCTATCCTCTTCAAATCCCAGGATAGCAGAGTAAGTATTTAGTTTGACTTTTAGGCTCGTACCTACGACATTCTAATGCCCTTATCTCGACTGAGAGCTTGTCAGCGTGCTTCAAAGCCCCCACAAAGCTGACCAGTCATTCATAGGCAGAAATCACTGGGTCTTTTGGCTGGAGCTGCGGCAGATGCTCGACGACAATCTGTGGTAAGTACGACGCCCATTTCACGAAATTTCAACCCACATATTGACTCTCGCCAGGAACGCCTTTGCCATCTGTGCCGAGATAACCATACAGTGTGGAAAGGCATCACATGCTCCCAGTGCTCTGCGTTCTTCTGCTTCCGTGGTCTCTACAGACATTTTGATATTGATCTCATTTCTCTACTCCGAAGAGAGGGCCCGTGGGTGTGCCCCAAGTGTTCTCAAGTGTGCAACTGCAGATGTTGCCACTTTACTCAGCCGCATCAGAGTAAAGAAAAACCCGTCAGAGCCCGCATCAAGCCTGCCGACCCCCGAGGCCGTATCATGGGCTTTGTGGACAACGTGTTCGACCAGAAGAGAGGAAAGAGAGCCAGCGTAGGTTCACAAATGATACCTTCGCAGACGGCTGTCTCTCTGCAAGGACGGAAACGACGTAGACTAAACAGCAGCGAAGGCTTTGAGCAAGGACTGCTGGATAGCAGCAGGTTTTCTTCAGTGGAGGATACTCAATCACCTGGAATCGGGAGATCAGAATCAGATGACTTACGGAGCAGAGGTACTGCTCAACCAAATATGCATCTCGCCAAAACGCATTCTGATGGAGATACTTGGCCTAAAGGACAGCTTCGAATTTCTGACCTGGTCGAGAGCCGGGCTGAGAGTGCGGCGGCTGAAGGAAGTTCTCGCAATCGTGCCACACAGTACCGACCTGCTGTACTTCCTGAGATATCAGACCGGCGCGATCACCCTTCAAGAGAAAACAACTCTCTCCTCTCATCCACAAGTGAAGACAGTATTCCTGTTTTGGAGAAGAGATTGGACGCTCTTCGTCGATATGCGGATGATCTTCTCGAGCTCTCTTTGGTGGAGTCGCATGCTAAACTGCTTGAAAAGATCACTGCATTTGAAACCCAGATTGAGCAGATCAGGAGGCGAAAGGCCGAAAGGCTCTTCAGTAATTTAAATCGGGATTTCCCCGATCTGGCCAACGTAGCCATGGAAGAGGCGCGACGGCGAGGACTATGAATGTTGCATACCATCATCATCATGGGAATATCTGACTACGCAAAAGTGAGTCTGGCACACGAAACAATCGACCTCACTGGCAGATCATGATTGTGGATGTGGAAAAACAACGAAATATACTTCTGCAATATTGCATAGTCAGCTTGCTGAAGCGATGACTGGCACTATATACTGGTAGAATCGCCTCATATTTGGTAAAGACGGGCAGATGAAACAAGCTGATCTTTGGCTTTAAAACACAAAATGGTAAAGAGTCGATTGACACCATGTTGGTTTATGGATCAGACAGGGAGACCGGCATCTCAGCTCAGCCCACTCAACGAGGCTAATGCTTCTCCGCACCCCTCGAGCTGATCCCCTCAAGAATCCAACATAAATCCTTGAGTGTTCCTTGACGAACTTACCATAGAACAATCCAGTTACGTGATCTTTCAGGATGGATCCCATAGCGGCTACCCAGCTGGCAGCGGATGTAGCAGGCATCTTCTTAAAAACCGTGAACACCGTTAAGGACATTATCGAGACGATGAAGGGCGCCCGAGAGGCCCTCGTCGAGCTACTGAGTCGCTGCGAAAGGGTACGCCTATATCTCGAACTGTTTAGATCTCTCATTTCCAACCCAGTTGAACGATCCATATCATTATCTTTCAATGATAGTGCTTACCGCCAGACTGCGGACGAGATCCTGGGGTTTGTTCACAAGATCGCGGATGCCTCGAAGCACTCCGAAATCTGGATGAAGTTCAGCTGGGTTTTCTACAAGGCCGATGTCACCGCGTTGGTCGGGAAGCTTGAGGCCCGTGAGAAGGACCTCAACCTTGTCCTAACTTTCATTGCAGCGTATGAGTTCTCAAAAAAATCCGAGTGGATCTGAAGCTGACGTGGGCGCGACAGTCAGTCCAGTGTGGTAACTGAGAAAGAGATCAGTGCGATGAAGGGCCGTGCTGAAGAATGGGCACAAATCACTGAAACCTTTGGCACGACTCATTTGAGTCAAGACAGCAATGAATTGGTCTTGAAACATTCTTCCGAGCAAGGGAAAAAGGGACAGGGCTCACACAGAGGATCGCACAACGATGGAAAGCAAGTGTCCCCCAATGTGATACAAAGCCAACCTTCTTCCGATTCGACGAAACCAGCACTGTGGCTTGGAAACGTCGTCAAGACAGGCTTGGACCCGGCGTATCTCAAAGAGAGAGCGCGGTTGTCCGACGCAGCATATTGGGGAGATTGGCATCAGTTGTTGTCTTCACTGGACACAGGGAGACGCCGCTTTGGCGAGTCGTGGTGTAATTCTTTTCATCTGAGTATGCGGCTCCACGAAGTGAATTGAGTAATGGCTGCTTAATTCTGGACAGGATCAGAAGACGATTCCCACCGACTGAGCCTATGGACTCCTTTGCACCAGGCGGCGTATATGAATGCGCCGAAGAAGGTGGTAGAGAAACTTATTCGACTAGGGGCTTTCAGTATGATCTTGTTTCTATATAAACTACCCTGAATCTGTTGACAATGAGGCTAGGAACCCTGCCGACTGCAAGAACCAAGGGCGAGTTCCGTTATCAGGATCTGACGGCTGTTGAGATTGCCCGTGAAGTCGGATACTCAGATCTTTGGGACATTCTCACTCCGGTTATCCGTCATTTCGTTCCTGCGAGGGTCCTAATAGATCTGGAACAAAAGCTCCATGAACTGATACACACCGAACTAGCTGGCTTTGCTCTTCCGAAGTACCTTCGTCTTCCTCAGCTGGTGGTGTTGACCGAGCTAGAGAATCCGGAGATGTGGTTTCCAATCCAACCCCAAAGTCAGCACGGAAGAGTGTGTCATCCATGTGCTCATGGTTTGAGCAGACTACTGACTTTGACCTAGGGATTCCTGTTTCGTTTGGACGGTCGAGAACTCGTGGTTCTGAGTGTAGGGAGGAGCCCTCCGATGCCCAAGCAACTCTACCGTGTATCGGCAACAGGCTGGACAGCGATACATGATGCAGTTGTGTTTCGAAGATAGCTCTTGGAAAGTTGCTTGCCTCCAGCAGAAGTTTGGGGTTTGATATGTTGGTCCTGCAATACTACTGCTTGAAGTGCTGTAGTGGCCTGGCTGTTTCAATCGCATGTTGTATACATGATTTACACTGTGCGACTGATTCGTGGCCATCGATCAACGGTTACATTCATATGGACTAAATAACCTGGTTCACCTACCACCGCAGCAGAAAAGAAGAAGACGTTGATGACCGATTACCACTTCGGGAGTTCCGAGCAATGACAGCATGGCCATGTAATTTAGTCATAGTCGAGTCCAGGGGATTCGAGAATTTTTTTCACCTCGTCTCATTATTCTTATCGCAATTTCCTTTGTTTTTGCTCCAGTCCTTTTGCTCCTTGGAGGTCATCGTATACTTGAACCTGTTCCATGGGAACCAAGCGGGCAATCGTCATCGGGCGCCTCCACTGCGGACCTCGCATCACCATCATCGTTTCATTTCCATCACCTGTTGAAGTCACTTTTCCCCAAGTAATCACATGTTCCTGTGGCTGATACGTATCTCGTCCACCGCCTGATATTGCTGAAGCTCGCTTTATCCATCATATGAACGAGTGTTTGGTATGTTTGACCCCCATTCCACTGCCCCTTCCTGCCGTTCTCCGCACACGGAACTTAGTTTGTGGTATTCCAAGCCCTGACAGCAGGGTAGATCATCAGCGACCTAGTTCAGTACCAGAGGGTCGGTACCTTTTGATGTTTGATCAAGCAATCACCTCGACTGACTAGACGATCTATCCAGTCAGCTGGAGAATCCGATCGAGTCGCAGTCATAGTTTCTTTATAAGGGTTCGATCATTCCGGGGGCCCAACTAAACACACTACGACGTACTATCCTGACCGCCTCCACAGCCCACATCCAAGCTATCGTTTACAGACGCACGATCTTCCCAACCCTCTCTTTTTTCTTATTGGTTTTTTACTTTCTCCTCTTTACTCGTTCTCATTGACCTTCCGATCTTTGTCGGCTTGGTCCTGGTTCTCGGGTCTCTGAACGAGGTTCCTTCGTCTGCCCTCACCCCTCCCCCCACCTCCTTCCTCCCGTCATGCCATGCTTCAAGGGTCTCGCCGTGAGTATACACACTCCGGACGGCCCCATTCCCGAGTTCTCCATTCAACGCCAGTCTCGGGCATCACGTATCGCTTGCTACATCCCCGTACCGCCGCCCAAGCTACCAGACTCCTCCAGCGGGAAACCCGAACAGTCGACCTTTGCCATTTCCATCACGCTCCTGAATCCCGGCCAGGATGTCCCATACTCGACGCCGAAACCGACGCCGGACAACCCCTCACCAAAGCCTAAGGTGGTGGGGGGCCTCCCCGGGCAGACAAGCGAACGAGGGCAGTACTCCAGTGCCGTTGCGCCATACCAACCCTTGACCAACTCGCCGAATGAAACGGTCGCGGCTTATATTTACTTTGATGGCCGGCAGAAGGAAGAGGTCGCTACGTTGCTCCGGAGAGGGGAGGAGACCTGGGTCAACTCGCGATGGGTTAGCGTGCCCGAGTCCGAAGGAGGTGGTCTTGCAGAACGGGAGTTTTTGTTTCGTGAGGTGGGATTGGAGAGATGGCTGAATGGGCTGGATTTGGAAGGCAAGGATGTCGCTGCCCGGATCGAGCGAAGACGGCAGAAGATGGAGAAACGCCGGCTGAAGCGCGAGTCGGAGGAGGGAACCGGTGACATGGAGATGGATTCCAAGTCGGCAAAGGGGGGCAAGGGGATCATGCGGTATGGCAATGATGAGAAGTCGCCTCTGGAGAACGTCTCCGATGATGATATGTCGTACTCCGATTCCGACGATGATCCGATCCCGGAGTCCGCTGGACAGATCAAAGTTGCGTTGTTCCGGGTCCTGGCATCCGGGGAGATCAAACGCGGAGAGTACTCGCCGCAATTTGATGCTCATGACGATGATGAGGATAATCAGAGCGGGCAGGGCAACGACGCGGACATTGATCACACGACGAGCTTTGCAAAGCCCAAGACGTTGGATCCTAAGACAATCAGCACGCAAACGGTTACAGGCATTGATCCTTCTGACAAGCCGTATGCGATTTTTACTTTCATGTACCGAGGAGAGAGTATGTTTCGAGGTTGCTATGTTTTCTAGGAAAGTTTTGGCTAACTGTTTATCAGGACAATTACAGAAAATGGGAATCCTGAAAGATCCCAAGTCTCAAGAGACTCCTGCTTCCGCGAAGCGAAGATCGTTGCAAACCGACTTCTCCAGTCTCGGACCCCTCAAACCGGGCGGTACGGTTGGATTCCTCAATTTCCGGGACAATTCCGAGAAGAAGGACAAGAAGAAGAAGAGCGGGGGAGAGGACGAGATGGACAGCGATGATGATGACGATGATTCCATCCTCGGCAAAGCAGACGATGAGGAAGCCAAAGAAGACAACCAAGATTTAACTCCGGAAGATATAAAGCGTCAAGGAGAACTTGCGGAGGGTGTCCGTAAAATCAAAGTAAGTTGCGCCGGTCTATTGGGAATACTCCATGCTAACGGATGCAGCTTAAACGTCAACACTCTTCTGCAAGCTTGGCCGGTGCTAGTAGCAGGGCCGATGCTGGGAGTCCCCTGAACTCGGGAGATACGCCAGCCACTTCGAGCATGTCGACGACGCCCCCTAATGCACCCGCAAGCAGCACTGGGGCCGCGGAAGCCGCAAAGGCTGCTGTGAATACACTCAATGGAGGATTCGTGGGTAGTCCCCTGAAGAAGCAACGGGCTAGTGTGTCAGAAGCAGATGAAAGTTCTCTGCGTCGCCGGATGGAGTCCGGACTTTCCAACGAGATCAGCGGAGCGCTGGGCAGCGCTGGAGAGCAAACGCAAACTGGTACGAATGCGAATACGTTTGGGGGAAGCCTGAAGCCACAGGAGCCAGCTCTTCAGCAGCCAGCTCTTCAGCAACCAGCACTCCAGCAGCCAGAGGAGGATGAAGAGTTGTAGGGTGATCAAGATTTGATACGTGGATTCTACCGCTTATGGACACATTTTTGTCGGAGACACTGGCATCTTTTCATGACCGTGACGGACTGGCGTAAATTGAGCGCATGGCTTGCACTATTGGATTTATTCTTGCTCTATTTTCTTATTTAGTGGAGGTATTTTCTCAGTTGACGCTGGGAATATGATTTAGTTGCTCTTTTTGCTTGATGCCGACATGACGACAGCAGATTGGACGGAGGATACCACAGCGTCATTCCTGGGGATGGCCTTTTTTCTCTCCAGACGTTGAACAAAGATTATCGGGGGTGGAATTGACTTGACTGTTGATGGGGAATTATTATAGAATTATGAACTCGCAGGAACAATATACCACCGGACTTTTTAGACAGAATTTCAGTTTGTGTCTGTTGTGTCCATGAAATCTACAATGTGGTGTCGAGCTCCAGCTTCAATGTGGAATCTTCTTCCACTCCGCGTGTCGCAGTCGAACAATCTTTTCTTGAATCCGGTCCATCAGTGCTCGATTCGAAGCAGACGATTCCTGAGCACCATTAGCAACTACAGGATGCCGCTCGAACGCTCTACAGACCCTCTGGTCTGGATAGACTGCGAGGTCAGACTACTGAACGGTGTCTCCTCAGACTCCTCCTGACTGACATCATAGATGACCGGCCTCAACCCGGAAACAGACACCATCCTCCAGATCTGCTGCTACATAACCGACGCCAACCTCAACCTCCTCGACCCGGAAGGCTTCGAAACCATCATCCACCACGACCGCTCAGTCCTCGAGTCCATGTCGCCGTGGTGCATCGACACCCACGGTCGCACGGGGCTCACCGCCGCGGTCCTCGCGTCCACGACCAACCCCGCCGCCGCCGCCGCGTCCTTGCTCGCCTACATCCAACGATACGTGCCAAGGCCGCGCACGGCGCTGCTGGCGGGGAACAGCGTGCATGCCGACAAGATGTTCCTCGCGAAGGAACCGTACAAGTCTGTGCTGGAGTGGCTGCATTATCGGATTCTGGATGTGAGTGCGTTCAAGGAGGCGGCGAGGCGGTGGGGGGGTGAGACATTGTTAAGGGAGGTGCCGCCGAAGAAGGAGGTGCATCTGGCGCGGGAGGACATCTTGGAGAGTATTGAGGAGATGAGGTTTTATAAGGAGAGGTTGTTTACGAGGGAGTAGTCTATTATTAGATTGTGGTATTACCATTGTCTAAGGAGTAAGCTCCGAAGGTACTGTGCTATGACCCGCAGACCGGACGAGAGCTCTCCTAGCTAGGAGCGATGGACAAAGTATGTCTCGGTGAGTGAAGAGATTACCAAACTTTGTCGAGAGAAGATTGAGAGCTCGCGCTCATCAGAGATTGAATGAAATTGAAGATATGATACTGAAGAAGATGGCCAATTCTTGAGAGAAACAGTGACCACTGTGATGTGTTGGCAGCACCCCAGTGCAGTATGCTGTATGATATGACAGCAAGCCACTTGAACAGCTCGAGGTCTAGATACTATTCTAATACTAATACTACCTTAACTGCATGGATGCTTCCATCTCTCTCATTGGTATGGCAGTATCTATCTAAAGTCTGTAATAATGACGCTTGTTTTGCCCCTCTATTAACTCCTAGTGATGATCGGCCCACCTTCCCTCCGCTTCGACTGAGACTTGTCTTCTCTGCGTTTCTTCTTCTTCCTTGAAAGTCGGTGAAGCTCTCTTTTTTCCTTCTCTTCTCTTCTCTACTCTGCTACTTCTGATCTACTGAATCACTCCATATCCCTTGCCTTTCCGCAGACTCGTTCTGTCGACTGTCGAGTCTCCTTGACTGCTCCTCGCTACCCCACGTTGTCACCCAAACAAACCAACGTCATGTCGATCCAGACAGTCTCCATCCAGCCCTTTGCCGACCAGAAGCCAGGAACGTAAGTATTTCCATCTTGGCTAACCTTGCAACAATCATTTTCTTCAGGTTGTGAGCAAATCAGCTGATTATCCCTCATCGTAGCTCTGGTCTTCGCAAAAAGGTCAAGGTCTTCGAGCAGCCCCACTACTCTGAAGCTTTCATCACCAGCATCCTGCTCTCCATTCCCGAGGGTGCCGAGGGAGCTTTCCTTGTCATCGGTGGTGATGGTCGCTACTACAACCCTGAGGTTATCCAGAAGATTGCCAAAATCAGTGCTGCCTACGGCGTCAAGAAGCTCCTGATCGGCCAGAATGGCATCCTCAGTACCCCTGCCGCCAGCAACCTGATCCGTGTGAGAAAGGCCACCGGTGGTATCCTGCTGACTGCCAGTCACAATCCGGGTGGTAGGTTGAGCTCTTCGCCTCTCAATTTCGAGCGCTAATGTTCCAAGGACCCAATGCCGATTTTGGTATCAAGTACAACCTGACCAATGGTGCCCCCGCTCCCGAGTCCGTCACCAACAAGATCTTCGAAACCTCCAAGTCCCTCACCTCCTACAAGATCGCCGAAATTCCCGATGTCGACACCTCCAGCATTGGCACCAAGACCTATGGCCCCCTGGAGGTTGAGATCGTTCACTCCACCTCCGACTACCTCAAGATGATGAAGGAGATCTTTGACTTTGATCTGATCAAGGAGTTCCTCAGCACTCACAAGGATTTCAAGGTGCTGTTTGATGGTATGCACGGTGTGACTGGTCCCTATGGCGTGGACATCTTCGTCAAGGAGCTGGGTCTGCCCCAGGACAGCACCATGAACTGTGTCCCCAGCCCCGACTTCAACGGCGGCCACCCCGACCCCAACCTGGTCTACGCCCATGAGCTGGTCGAGGCCGTGGATAAGAAGGGTGTCCACTTTGGTGCTGCCAGCGATGGTGATGGTGACCGCAACATGATCTATGGTGCCAACACCTTCGTCTCCCCCGGTGACAGCTTGGCCATCATCGCGCACCACGCCAAGCTCATCCCCTGGTTCCAGAAGCAGGGTGTTTATGGTCTGGCGCGGTCCATGCCCACTTCCGGCGCCGTTGACCTGGTCGCCAAAGCCCAGGGTTTGCAGAGCTACGAAGTCCCCACGGGCTGGAAGTTCTTCTGCAACCTGTTCGATAACAAGAAGATCTCCATCTGCGGCGAGGAGAGTTTCGGAACCGGCAGCAACCACATCCGCGAAAAGGACGGTGTCTGGGCCATTGTCGCCTGGTTGAACATCATCGCCGGTGTCGCCAAGCAGAAGCCCAACGAGACCCCCAGCATTGCCTCGATCCAGAACGAATTCTGGCAGACGTACGGCCGCACTTTCTTCACTCGCTACGACTACGAGAATGTCGACGGCGACAGTGCCAACAAGCTGATCGCCAACCTGTCCGAGAAGATCACCAACAAGGACTCCTTCGTGGGCAGCACTGTGTCCGGCCACAAGGTGGTCGACGCGGGCAACTTTGCCTACACCGACCTGGACGGCAGCGTGACCAAGAACCAGGGACTGTATGTCAAATTCGACGACGGCAGCCGCCTGGTGGTCCGTCTCTCGGGCACAGGCAGCAGCGGTGCCACCATCCGTCTGTACATTGAGAAGTACGAGAGCGAGAAGAGCAAGTTCGGCATGAACACTCAGGACTACCTCAAAGACAACGTGGCCCTTGCCATGTCTTTGTTGAAGTTCAAGGAGTATATTGGCCGGGAGGACCCTGATGTCAAGACTTGATTCTTTCCTTTGAAGGTTAACGGCGAGCCGCGCTGGTTTTACGACGGTTTATATGGACAACAAGTAATTAAGCATGGATAGAATATATTAGTAGTAGTATGGCAGAGCCAGATCAAAGTTCGTTAATGCAGTCATCACTTTAGCATTCATCACATCAGTCATAGGCATAAGATTCATGGCGCCATGCCAGCCGCGGCAAGCTTTTCTGCCCACCACTCCTTCCATCGCACGACCTTTTCCTCCCGCCTGGCCTCTTCGGCCGCAAAGACCACGGCATGGCTGCGAACAGCTTCTTCCAGGGTACAGCCGACGAAATGAGTTTGTGCGCGCCGCACATCCCACCCCTCCTGCTCGACGGCACCCACGGCACGCACGAAGCTGCGCGCCAGCCCGTAGTCTCCTCCGCCGTGCGCCTCCTCCTCCTCCGGCGGCTGCTTCGGCACCTCGATGGTGGTCGTCGAGCGGGTCGAGAAATCATAGACGGAGATGGTACGGCTGTCGTAGGCGATCTCGCCGCGCGTCCCGTAGACCCTGCCGCGGCGCTCGCACTGCTTCTCCGTCGGAGCGATCATGTGGAAGACGGCCGTTTTGGCGATGCGCCTGCCTCCTGGGGTTCCGTCGGTTCCACCGTCCTCGTCATCCCAGGTAATGGTGACGACCTGGTCGTCGCAGACGGTATTGTCCGCCTCGTAGACACACCGGCCGTACCACGGCCGCCGCGCGATCTCCTCGTCGCTCATCTCGGCGCGGGAGTAATCCTCGCGGAGGCGGGCGAGGAGGCGCGCCTCCGCTGCGGCCTCGCTCCCGGGAGACGAGCCCAGCGACAGCGCGTCCTCGATGTCCGGCACGACGATCTTCACGGGCCAGCCGGTGTCGCCGCGCGCAAGGTGCAGGTCGCGGTAGATACGCACGGCGCTGTAGATGCATGCTCGCTCCGCGGGGCAGGACAGGCAGTTTGTGGCGGCGCCCGCGGCGGCGGGTTTGCGGGCGCGGCGGAATTGGCTCAGTGTGCCGGTGGAGGTGATGCTGCGAGGGTGGTGCGTCTGCGTCTGTCCCTGCGAGGTGGGGTCCGGGGGCGGCGAGGCTAGCAGCCACAGGATAAAGTCGAGATCGTGGCATGATTTCGTGAGCAGGGAGCCGTCGCCGTGCGGGGTCGCGCGCCGCCAGTTCCCGCGGACGTAGCTGTGCGCGAAATGCCACCAGCCCACGGGCTCGGTGTGCTCGAGGGAGACGACCTCGCCGATGACGCGGTCGGCGAGGAGGAGCTTGCGCAGGAGGACGTTGTGCGGGCTGTAGCGGAGGACGTGGCCGACGGAGAAGATCTTACTCCCCTTGCCGGAGGCGCTGGCACCGGCACCGGCACCGGCACCGGCAACAGGACGCGACAAGGCCTTGTAGACGGCCAGGCAATCACCCAGCGACAGGGCAAGCGGCTTCTCGCAGAGGATGTGCAGACCCAATGGCGCCAGCGCCGTCACGATCTCGACGTGTGTTTCGTCGAGCGTGCACACGAACACCCCGTCCACCCCTTCCCCACCCGCGTGAGACGGATGCTGCTGCTGCTGCTGCTGCTGCTGCGCCCGACCGCGCCGTCTCTTCTCCCAGTCCAACCACTCCCTCCAATCGCTAAACTCCTGGCCGTCGGCGGGCCGGCCCTTCTCGCCCCAGATATACCTGCGGCCCAAATCGGCCCGTTTGAAGGCGTGTGGTTCGGCGACGGCGTGGATGAGCGCGGGCGTGCTGGTTGTGACGGCGCGGGCGTAGGCGTTACCGCGGGAGCCGGCGCCGATGACGAGGAAGCGGAGGGGTTGGGGATTTGGGAGGGTGGAGGGGAGGTCGTCGGTTATGGGGAGTTGAGGTTCTTTCATGTTTGCGTGAGGAAGACGATAGGAGATAAGCAATGGAGGTGAGGCATTTATGCGGGGGGTCCAATTTATAGCAGATATTCTGGGATAGCACTAGGCACACGGTCTCATTTAACAGTAGGCTAGTCAAGACAGCTGCTGATGAAACATCGCATCGCAACCTTGAGACGACGCTCGTAATAACGAATCGCTGGTTGGCTGCCGCAAGCCGCTCTAATCAATCACAACAAAGTGTCTACTTTGTAGTTCTAGGCTACAGATTGTTGATTATCTTGTTATTATTCGAGGAATTATCCACCAGCCCAGTGCGCGTTATTTGTATCTGTACACTTTTAACGCCGCACAGGTGAAGAAAACTATCCACAGCAAACCACGGAGACTCAAGGGCCCGATTCTCAGCACTCTGAGATGACTGAAGAAGAAAAATAGTACATGAGATGTGAGTGAAGGGAAACCTCAATAAGTATAGCCAAAGAAGATATGAAATAGATTGGGTATCCATAGAAGAAAAAGATAGAGTACAATCAAGACATGAGAGACATGACGCGCTGATATGCAATATAGTGAGAGGAGGGTCTCCACAGAGAGTCGTACGGTTGACTTCAAATGGAGATCGGCGTGCTCAAATCCGGTGAATCACTACCGGACGAGGCCGTGACCAGGGAGCTGCGCTGGTCGTTGGGTCGCCGGGCTGATATACCGCGAATGCGCAGGTGATAGTTGGCATGGCGATCGACGAGGCAAGCGGAATGACTCTGGACTAAAGCCCGGTCGGTTTGCACAGAGAATGCCTCTTATACACGTGGACTATCAACTGCAGGGCATATATTTCGAGTATGTGCTTCAAGCTGGGATCTTCACAATCCGTCCAGACTCTCCGTGAAGCGACTCCCCCGGCTACCGTCGAAGCTTGGGTGACTGCGGCCCAGGACATCTGGCCGCTGTGGCATCGTGGGGGATAATGTCCCCCCCGGTTGAGGAATGGCACGGGAGGCAGCCGGGACGTTCACCACGCTGACGTTCGTCGAGCTGGCAACCGGCGTCCGGGCCGGAGACGGTCGGAAGACCACGACCGACTCGGATTCGTCCGCCTCCCGCGTGTAGCTCACGTCCAGTGGCATTCCGTACGGCATCGAGGGAGGAGGCTGCGAGATGACCGATCGAGGTTGGACCGGCGACCCCGGTGGTAGGTTCATGCTGGGCTCCGACGCGGTCGGAGATCCCTGATCAAACCCGCCACCGTAGCCATCCCCTCCTGACTGCAGCACCGAGGGGATTTTGCGGCCTGAGATCTTCTGGAACCCGCGTTCGCTCGTGGTGGTAGAGGTGAAGGTGCTGTCGTCAGACCGCACCGTCTGATTCGACTGCCTCCATCGCTTCATAAAAGCCGGAGCGAAGTATGATGCCGTGAACAGCGGGTCGCGGCTCGAACGCCGTGAAGCCATCTCCGTGCGTGAAACGGATCCCCTTTCTCCAGCCGTGCCGCCGGTCCCATCGCTCGCTGGGAGTCCACGATTCGGTCGAAACATGGTCGTCTTGCGCCTTCGCAGCAGGAAGAGAAGCAGACCAAGCAGGAAAAATGCGCCGGCGAGACCTCCAACGACACCGCCCACGATGCGTTTGGTAGTGACGCTGTCTAAGCCACCGCCAGAGGACGAAGATGTGGTTGCCGAGGGAGCCTGGCCCGTCGCAGTTGCGCCTGAACCTCCGCCTCCGAAATCCGACGTTCCCGTACTATACAAGTCTGCAGTGGTCGTGGCCTCTGAGACGGAAGTGGTCGAGTAATCCCCATAATAGTCACTGGAAGTGCCGCCGTATGAACTGTAAGAACTGGTACCATTGACGGTGCTGGTGCTCGCACTTGAGCTCGAACTCGAAATCGTACTCTTGGTCGAAGTGGGCTTTGGCGTGGCTTTAGGGGTCGAGCTCGATATAACACTCGAGGATCGAGCGCCAGGTATCAAAGCGGACGACTGGGTGCTGCTCGCAGAAGTAATGAGAGCGGTGGATGTTGGAACCGAAACGGATATTGAAACCGATATGTCCAATGAGAAAGAAACAGAAGCGGTGGGTATGGTCGTCAAGTCGTTAGCGCTTGTGGTAGTTGAATTGTCCGCTGTGAAAGACGTCGGGCCAGGTGACGGGGGAGGAATCTCATTTAACGAAGAGGTCGACGGCACCGCCACAGGGAGTGTGTCGACAGGAACAGAGACGGTTGATGGACTGGAAGCAGAATCCGATATGGACGTCGGAAGAGCCGCCGTCGTGTCTGGAGGTGCGTCGACGACACTGCTGACCGGGGCCGGCACCGCCGTCTGAGATCCTGGAGGAACTGCGGAATCCTGACGCTTTTCTAGCGAATCGTCCGAGTCGTTGTGCGTTACCTCCCCCGACGACCCATGACGCTTACTATGGTCCAGGACATGTGCCTTTTTCATGCTCGAGATCAACGACCCATGAGTGACCTTTTGTGCGGACTCCTCCCCTGCTCGACTGGCTGGGTCGACTCCCTCGTGGCGTGTTCGATGCTTCTGCTTCATCAGCCTTGTAAGCCGATGACTCCGAACAATGCCATTGTGTGCCATTCTGGCAGATTGTCCAAACGATCGAACGCAAGCCTTGGAATTGGAAAAAATGCAGATCTTTGATTTTTTGCTTCAAATTGAGGTGAAATGATTGACTCGTCGATAATGCAAACGCACCGTGTCTCTGCCTGCACAGCGCCTGAGGTGATCCGCAAAAGAGGGAAAGTAAGATCGATTGACGCAGGATACTGATTGAACTGAACTGATATTGAAAGAGTGTCGACTGGTAGACCATCTGCCGTAAAGGAGTGAGCGATGGGTCTAAAACGTGGTATCAAGTGAAAAGGAGTGACGAATCGGTCTGTAACGAGTTTGAAACAGGAGGAACCGTAGACCGTAGAGGAACAAGGAGCGGACGTCAGCTGTCACCGTGCAGCCGACTAACTGGAGAGACTAAATGGAAGACTCTGGGTCATAAAAATCTAAAAGGTTGAACCAGACACAGCGTTAGCTCTTTCGAGTCGTTGCTGCCGGTAGAATCGATTGATTCACCAGCTCCTCCATGAGAACGGAGCTCAGGTAGCGAAGCAAGCATACCTTTTAAGGAAAGAATATGAAGCGAAAAGATAGAATGGAAGCGATCACGAGTTGCTATTCGTTCTGTCGACGGTCTTAATCCATGCCTGTCGCGGAGGAGATATTCGCAGGATTCACCACGAAATAGGCTGACCAACGATGAGCTTTGACTCCGACGAAGCGCAGGAAGAGGATGACTACTGCTGAATTTCTTTGCCGACTCTCCCAACGGTTGACGGTTGACGGTTGACGGTCGACGGATCCACGCTTTGAGGTACCCAGGTTCCGGACCCAAGGATCCCTATCCGTTCTTTTTCGTTTTTCGGCACACCGTCCGCAAGATCAACCGTGAATGGAAGATTCCGCTCACTGGTCTGGTTATACCAGCGCCAAATCTAGCAGTGAGCGCAGCCAGGTCGAAAATCGAGGTTATTCACTCGGCACCCGGAGAGCGAAAGGAGGCAAGGAACGGGGAGGAGGAGGGAGGAGGCGTAGCCGCAAAGCAGAGGAAGAGAGGGGAACCAGGAAATGAGAAGAAGAAGCGATCGAAACACAGACGGACTAGACTAGTCAGTAGTAGTGTAGTCTCGTTTGAATATTTACACTAGTAAGCCAGCCCGACCAGGTTGTTTGTTGGTGGTGATCGATCAGGCCAGGCACGGAAAAAAGAACAGGAAGATGACCAGGACCAGGACCAGGACCAGAAAGTGGACTAATATCTATCTACAGGCTCACAGTGTTAGACTGTTTTCTCTTAGACCCTCCGACGCGGGTGCTAGTCTGGATGGCCTCGTTGGCCCAATTTCAAAATTAATTAAGGCACGGAGTATCTACGTACTCAGTCTCAACTAAGACGGCACGGGGAATCTTCTGCTGTCCACCCGGTTGACTGTTTCTCTGCAAGGTGATAGCATATCAGTTGCAGGACAAGACCTTGGTCTCATGGCATGGTACATATAGCACATCACCATGCTCATCATGCAGATGAGATGATAGATACTGCGTAGAAATAAGAAGAGAAATGTTCTGGCCCGACAAGGATAATTAAAAAAAGAGACACGCCCCACAGAACTTAAGCACTAACCCCTTTATGGTCTAGCCTGCTGATTAGCCCGAAGAGTGTTTAATTAGCATCTCATCTCGGTCGGTGTAAACTGTAAACAAACACCAACAGGAGTAGATAGACCGAGTCCTATTGCCAATTGAATATGAATTAATACCAAGTCTCCTCATCTTCAATATCTTGTCTTGAATCCATAACCTCATCTGCTCAATCCAAATCCGATGAACGAAAACTCGCCATCCTCAAACCAACAGTAAGCAGAGTCTGCACTAACCATTACCCCTGAGGCTCAGACTTCTCTGTACGAGGCAAGGGGACTCCCTCTATCGCCGGGTGTAACCAATAGCCTAGCCCTGCAAGGTACGGATACACTGTACGACAGCAGTTATATTGAGTCAAAGTCGAGTCCCGACTCTGCATATGCTCAGGATCATTCATCTCATCCCAGTTCACCAAGCCAATTTCTCGAGTAACGTTGTACCACCTTGTATTTCTGTCCGTTCTTGACTCGTAGTCCTTTCCATGCCGTGGTCGAGGCGATAACAGTTCCTCAACGCCTAATGATCCCGCCTGGAGGCGCTGACGTACGACTTCATATCGGGTGTCTTCCTCTAACCCCACTGCTATTTATATGGACTCGGCACGTTCAGATATAAATATCCCTTTCAGAGACAGTCTCTTACTCTCTTCCCGTGTTATGGTGTCATTATCCATAAAATAATGGCCAAGGCCCACCGATCCGCGCTCGAGAATGCCATCGAAGGAATGGAATCCGTCCGCTAAGGTGCCATCCAAGTCTGACACCTGACATCTGACAGCCAGAGTACTGAGGAACATTCATGAATTCCTCGCAAAAAAAAAGTCACATGTCAATCACCTTAACCTTACTGTACGGAGTGCCGCCTTCAAGCCCGAAGAGTCTCCGACGTATGAAAACTGCATAGTCGGCTGGTTTTTCCCAATCATAGATGAAAGCACTCAAAGTACAAGTAGACCACAAATCTCGATCTCACACTATACACAGGCTGACTTCCACTCTATGCTTTGCAATTCGTATTTGTCTGCTCACCACACGCCCAAGCACAGATGCGGCGGCGAGGGGGCACTCCCAAGCGCCTCATCCGTCCATATGCCACTAATCCAAGCCAAAGAAAGAGGAGAAACGGACTGATTCAAGTCGGTAGGGATGTGAAGGACCACGGATTCAACGCTAGTGATAAAGGGGTATTATTAACGAAAAGACGTCCATTGCCATGAACCTAGAATGTCTCCAGCTCATCGGCGACCTCCGTTTCCGCTGGGATCTCGAACCCTTCCTGTGGCGAAGAATTAGCATCTGCAGCAACAAAGCAGAGACAAAGCGTCATAAAACACGTACCTCCGTCGAGTACAGAATGCCCTGGATGTGCTTCACCAGAGAGTCTTCGTCCTTCTCCAGCTCAGGGTCCGCCTCGATGGCATTCTGCAGCAGCAGCTCGATATCCCGGAGCTTGGCAAAGTAGAAATCGCGCTCCTTCTCCAGGCCAGCAATAGCCTCCTTCTGAGTCGCAATCTCCTGCTGCAGAGCAGCCGTGCTGGCTCCTCCCGTGGCTGCGGCAACCCGAGGACGAACACCGCCGGTTGTAGGAGTAGCTCCTCTCCTTGTAGCGCCCGCCGAGGACGATGCGCCAGAGCGAGAACCAGCCGCAGAAGCGGGAGGAGCGCCAGAGCCCTTCCGGCGGCCGACGGCATCGTAGTCGCCCCCGGGGTAGTGCTGATCCCAGTATCTCTTGGTCCACTGGAGAAATTCGAGGTTATCCTGCATGCGACATTTTGAGAGCTGCTGGACTGGGATCGGCTTCTCGACCTGGTGGCGAGTGAATGTATCTGAAATAGAGCGTAGGGGTCAGAAATCGAATCTCAACCGTGTAATATACGGTCCATGCGGTGTCATACTCTGGAGGATCTTGAAATTCTGGAGATAGGCGTACTCGGTGTTGACATTGAACTTTACACGCGCCATAGGAACATCCACTGCACGAGAGGGTACAGGTCAGCCTGTCAGATGCAATTATTGAGCCCAAGTGACTCCTTGAAGCTTGCTATTCACTCACTGAATATCGAATCGAAAATCTGACACAGAGCGGCCCTGTGAAACCGAATCAGCACTTGTAGATCATGCTTTGAATGTGTCCAAATCTGGGTTATCCATATAGAGTCGGCTGGGAATGGTCGACTGTTTCAAGGGCATAAAAAGGAGCGTCAATCGTACCCGGTCCCGCACTGTTCAATTTTGGTCAGATTCAGCTGCAGCAGGTTGTTAAGCCATGCCAGCAATTCCTGTCTGCACAGCGAGAAGTGCTCAAATTAGCGAGATGCTCGGAATCAAAACAAAGCCCCTTGTGTGAACGATCAGTTGGCCTGACGAACCTGGATTCTCCCATGGTGGGGTAATTTTGTCAATGTGAAGATGCACAACGGTTGAAAGGACGTCGGGGAGGGATTGCAGTTCGAGAGATTTCGAACAGATATGAAATTCAGCTAGAGATGGCCTTTGTTTTGATTGAGTTGGATTTTGTTTATGGTGAGAAGAGAACGAGGAGCCGTAGAGACAGAGGATTGTTTTGCTTCGGCCCTCGAAACCCACGGCTCTGCCTGACGCTAAGGAGCCCCCTGGCCAATCACATTCACCCTCTCCCTTTGGCTTCAAGATCATTTAGCTAACAGGTGATGATGTTTAAGAATCGGATGTAAAAAGAGTAAATTAGTCCAGGTATGCTATATAGGGGCTATGTAGAGATCAGGGTATGATTACCAATGCTCTGACTCTAAATTCAACTCAATTGCACCGGTAACAGCCAGTGTCAAGTCTCTATGGTGTCTTTCCGTATCAAATCTAACAGCAAAAACCCGAAACAGGCTCCAAGTCTAGCAAGTTCAAACCAAAGAAATCTATCGCTTCCAAAGTAAATCCGTCATGTTCTTTTGAAAAGAGCCAGTGTATCATCCGAAAACTCCAAACCCCACATATTTCTAATGTTCGTAAGTATAAGGAAGGCGTCGCAGTCAAGATCACTCTTCCAACAACTCGATGCCATCCAATCCATAGCCAAAATCCATAATGACAGCTCGAGAATCTTGGCTGGTGGCAACGATGCGTCGATAGTCCGACTTCACACTCAACATCCAGCTGGTGGTCCAACCAGGCAAGTCAATAGAGAGCTCTCCAGTCAGAGCGTCAAAGACCTTGACACTCATGTCATAGCTGCCGCTGACAATCCGCTGGTTCATACTATCCAGATGGAGTGACCTGACAAGACCAGCATGCCCTTTGAGCTCACGGACCATCTCGGCCGTGTTTGCGTCAAACTGGTAGATCGATTGGTCATTCCCACCGGTGAGAATGGTTCGCGCATCATCACTGAACTCCACACAGGCTAGT